ATCACATCCCTTTTCACGGTAATTTAGCAGATTATTAGACAACGCAACATCACAAATCACAGTGTCAACTTCACCTCTCCAATAATCTGGAGTCACCATAGTAGCTAAAAGTTGCTCAATTATTTCTCAAACATCTGACTACTGGTAATCTCCCTCTTGTGGCCAACAGCAAACTGTGTTGTTCACCTTAGTAAGCTTCTCCTCAATTCATTAATTAAACTCAAAAGTCAGTTTGACAGCCATCATCACAGATAGTTGACTTTTCATGTGCTTCATAAAAAGCGTTCATCTATTGCTCACATTTAAAAATTCCTGTTCATACAGCCAGCTAATAATCTCATAATTATACAAGAAGTAGCTTCTGGTAGGCAAACAGCAAAAAAAGAAGAAATGCTTAAGGCAAAATTCGACTTAGATGCAAAGCGAGCTCCAATCAGAGAATCAGTTCATGCACCTCAATGGAAATGAATGCAAAACTTTCATCTGAGTGTTTTCATCCTCTGAACACATTTGTCCTTTCACTGAACTCTGCCCTCAATCCACCTCGTACCATGCCTGTGTTGTCAGTCTTATCTCTGAAAACAAGGTGAAACACCTCCTTCTACCTCACAAAGGAATTCATTATTCTCCCCCCCAGAGGACACAGAAGCGGGTTTTGTCAAATGTTTTTGTGGCATGGCTTTGCTCCAAGTTAGGAAGCGAGGAAATGTGCTAACAAGAAGGAGATAGACTTTTAAACTCACGAAGAAAAATCTTTGTTTATATCTGCCGTTTCAGCTTGGAGACACCAAAACCACCATCTCCTGGAGTGGAAACTTAGCAGCAGCAACAAAATAATAAAGACTGGAAATAATATTTAGCTTTTACAGCACATGGAGCTTTAAGACTCATTTTTATTATCAGGAGTGCTGATATGAACAGAATAAAGTTCCCAGAACTTATCATTTGTTCTGCAGGAGAAGAAGAAAAAAGTTATTTCACTAAAGGCCTCCTTGAAGAAATGCAATGTCAAAAGTTATTTTCGTCAGACTTTATAAATGATGATGTTGTGCACCATCTCATGCGATGATCTTGCTTTTTGTCTGTGCTCATGTATTGGGAAGAACTCAAATCTACAAACCCAGCTGTTATTTTAGCTCATTGTCTATAAAATTGAGATAATTCTATATTTTTTTCTGTTGGCTAATGTTGATTAGCTGTGCTGGGGGGCTGATCCCAAAATTTGATCAGATGCAGAGGTACATCCATTGATTACTTTCTAAAAGTTTCTGTGGTTCATAAGATATTTTGCTAACAAACAAAAAGAGGCGTCTCTAATAGATGATGGTAAAGTTTTAAAACCAAATCTAAATTTTAGCACAGTTCGTCAATTTGGCTGCGTGGGTGGCAGACAACCGTGGGAGCGTTTAAGCTCGTTTATAAAAAGACACGTTACGATCCCATAAAGTGAATCGTTGGCAGACCTCGTGCTTTCACTTTCACTAAGACAACGATCCAAACTCAGTGTCCAACACGTGTCTGTCAGAGACTTGGCTGTCAGCAGTGATTTATCGTGACAGTCGTAGCAGCTCATTCATCAGGCTGCTGAATGGATATCATCTCTTTGTTACAAAGGTATTGGAGCATCTGGCATGGATCCATGTTTAGGTTCCCTGGCAAATGTAAGGTCCCAACAGCTTGACTTCTAACTAAACTCCTGCCACCACTCCGGGAGAAGTCAGTCTTCAGTGATTACCAGAGACAACCGGATCAGAAAGGCGCTGAACGCTGAGAAAAGGTCAAGTTATTCAACGCGACGACTCGATTTGAAACAATTGCTCTGCGTTAGACCGCTCACACGTACAGCTGTATGCTTTTAAACTCTGGAGCAAACATTTTACAAATTTAGGGAGAACATCAACTGTCCACGCTTTGTTTCAGCAGCTCATTTCCTTGTCAATTTGATTCTCTAAATGGCGTCATCATTTAAGCACGGTTCAGGAAAATGTCAGCGTGATAACGGAAATATGTCATTTGAATGTTCAGGGTTGTTGATGTCTGGTAAAGTACCCTTCACATTTGACTGTGAAACACTTGTTGGTACATTCAATACGCTACAAAAATGTTTGGGAGTTTCTCAAAGGCTCCATGTCATATTTTTGTTATATATGGCTGTTTTTTTTTGTTTTTTTTTTACCATTTATATGTAAAAAATAATATAAAAAGACACCACCTCAACATACAGTGCATGCAAGAGCATTCATGATGTATCTTGCTAACAGGCAGACAAACGTATGCACAAACACAGATGAGCAATTGCATGATCGCCCACCTTTCATATCGATGGGCGATGAAGATGAATACAAAACTCTGATGAGTTTGTGTGCTCTGCAGGCAGCTAAAACCATTTCATGCTAACATTTTGGATATTTTTTATGGAAGAAAACTGATGGAAATGGTGGAAAAAGTATTTAAAAATACATATTTTGTGAATAAAATTTGCCTAAATATGTATAATTGTGTTACTGTGGATTTTTAAGTGCCCGCAAAGACTACGCCCCCTGCGCTGCATTGCTGAAAACACATCCAACCCCTCCAATGTTACTAATAGATGCAGGAATACAATTGGACCCCTGTGAACAATTAAAGTCCAGGCTTGTTCTACAATGTATCTGAAGTGCAGCATAGTACAGTGACACTTCACAAAAACAACAACAAGAGAGGAAACACAAGTGACGTTTGGAACCAGAAACAGGAAGCAAACAGGAAATAACTTCAAGCCGCTGTAACAAGTTTGGGTTCTGTCCAATCACAAGTAAAAGCTCTTGTCTTTTCTGGAAAGTGGGATTTAGTGGCGATTTTCTGTTTGAGAAACAATGAAGACCTGTAAAACAAAACAAGTTGTGTTTGGCACTTAAGGGCCACCGTATCACAAAAACCTCTGCCATTTGCAGTTTCAAAGGAGCCATCTCCTAAAAAAGAAAACATGCACACGAAGAGGAAAAAGCAGGAAAATCTGAGTAAATAATGGCTTTGATTTACAAATGTTGATTTAGCAGCGATAGAGAATAAATACAAAAAAGCAGAAAGTACATTGTAAAAAAAAAAGTTTTTACAAAAAAAAAAAAGAACTGGCAGCTGTGGTTAGAATAAATCTGTTAAAAACACTGTGAACTTGTAAACAGTTTTATAGACTGAGCTGTTTTATGTACAATTTACAGGTTGTTCTGTAAATCTAAACCTATTTTAATGTACTTTTTACAATTTTTATGTAAAAATACATTTAAAGGAGCACCTTTTTGCAGGTTTTCTTTTGGTAAAGTACATTTAGAACATATTAAAATATTTTAATCTGATGAATTAGCATGAATTTGGTGCTGTTATACAAACTATCTCAGTAAAATTTACACATAAATGTTGTTGAAATTGCATCTGAATACAATACGTAGTATTTTTGTAAACTGTCATTCATTCATTCAACCTTTATTCATACTAGTCTCATTGAGTCAGGAGGACTCATTTACTCTAGAGACACGGTCACCTGGTGTTTGGGTGTTCAGACATTTTTGTAAGAAAAATAAAATGATTTATCAAATTTTGCAATAAATGTTTTCAGAATAAACACCAGCCCAAACTGAAGCTTTCACTGAGAGGAAAATGTAATTACCAGAAGGGCTGGAAGGCAGTGATGTTTCAGTCCAGGTCTGCAAAAGTTATCATTGATTTGAAGCTCTCGACCTTGACCTCTCTAAGTGGCTTTAAGAATCTGTTGGACTCCTGGCAGGGACCAATGCAGACATGTTCCTGTTTTTAGTTTTATACATTTGTCTCGGAATCTAGCAGTTTTTTTTTTTTTTGGTTTTGTTACCTTTTTCCTTTTAGCCATCCTATTTGTTTAAAAACAAAACCAAAAAAAAAAAAAAAACTGTAGTATGAGTTTTTATAACTGCTTATTGTTGTTGCTGTTGTCCATTGTTGTCATCTTTCTTTGTTGAAATCAGGTCTCTCTTGTAAATGAGTCCTCGAGGCTCAATGGGATTTACCTGTATAAATAAAGGTTGATTGATCTCAAAATACTGGACAGATTTTAATAGGAGTCTTAGAAAGTAATACTAACTGTAACTTTTGGAGTCAGATGAGAACAAGATGGCCTCCACAGTTAATCATCATTAGCAAATAGAAATACATCTATCTGATGAAGTCCTTCGGATGAAAGATAAAACGTTTTCTTCCAAAACAGAAACTGTCCAGGTGACATGAGTGAAGTTTTTCTGATTTATTTACCTGGATGACTGAGCCTACTTACTCTTTTTGTTTTTAACCATTTTGGCCAGGTTGTCCTCAGGCTGGTTCGGTGGCCATTTTGCCTATGACATTTGATTGTTATGCACTGATTATCATTTGTTTTAGACTGATGGTCCTCCATTTTACATGTGAAGCCAGACTGGTTTAAAACATAACAAGGTGCTTTAATACAACACATCCTGTTGGCAGGCCTCAGACTGATGAAGTCCTTTGGATGAAGGATGAAACATTTTCTTCCAAAAAAGAAACTGTCCAGATGACATGATTTAACTTTTTTTTTTTTATCTATCTCAGTCACTTTTACAGACATTGAGCTCAAGTCTGATGTGGCTGAGAGTCAACCCTAACACACAGAGAGTAGGCCGCAGATGCAGCTGATCAACATTTCAAGGCAGAAATGGTTTGTCAATTAAATATACCAACCTCTGACAGATAAATCAGCTGGTGCAGGACCTGCTCATTACCAGTGATTTAATCAACGAAGAAGCAGCTTCTGGTGTTAAAATGAATGAAAGTGATGCAAAAAAAAGATACTCTGTATTGAAACATTCAAAACGAGGATCAAAACCGGATGTCTGCACGGCCAACAGTGTTAATGTCTTTTATCAATTAGCAGCATGAGGGAGCAGGACCTGCTCCTCCTGCCTCCTCATTGGTCAGGAGGCGTTAAGCGCTCCCATATAAACCTATCTGTCATGCAAGTCCGAGGCGCAGAGAGAACAGTGGAGAGAAATCACCGACTTCTTCTCCTCCAGTCAGCCTGTCAGAAGGAGCCCACCCCCCTCTCGCTCTCTCACCCCCCCTCCATCCACACATGAAGCCCTCACAAAGCAGCAGGAAGTGTCTCTGTGCGTTCAGTTGCTGTGGGAGCTCCTGCGCTGAGAGGACGATGCTCTGGAGGACCGGACTTTTGCTCCTGATGGTGCTGAACGCATCTGCATACGAACTGGATCAGAACGAGTCCTATGCGCCCAGGAGGGCACGCTTCTCTGTCAGCAGCCCTTGTAAGTACTGCGCCCGCTCCCAGTCAGTGCCCCCACCCCCACCCCCCTTTCTCTTTTATTTAATTATTCTCTATGAATTAAATCTTACCTTTGCTCTTGTGGAGGTTGCCCCCCCCCCCTCCCCGTCATTGTGCTGGCCTATGCAGGCGTTTCTGTGTGGATGCGCGCGCTGTCTCCTGCAGGCAACAGATGAGCACGGAGCTTGGTGCTGCTGACACCTGAGCGCACTGCTGCATGCATAGGTCCCACTGATCAGCATCTTGCTGTACTTTAGGAGCTGTGTGTGTGTGCGGGGGGGGGGGGGGGGGG